CTCTCATATATATATATATACATATCCTACTTATATTATATATATATCTGCTGTTTATATTTATGTATGCAACCATATGTTCTCTTTTTCTCACTCACTCACAGCGAACTGTAGTCTGACAGCTGAGAGCTGGAGGGCTCTGGTTTTGCTGAGAAAGGGCTGCCCGTGAGAGGCCGCCAGCGCCGATGATTGGCGGGATGCCAAGGAGTTGGAACGCATCTCGATGCCTTCCGGCTACGAAGAGGAGAAACACAAAGACATGTCGATACTGTATTGACGGCACGGCGCTCCCTGCGAGGGCCGGCTCTTCTCCTTCGAGCAAAGCCGGGTTCAATACAGGACGAGCCGAGCCGAGAGCAATCCGAGAGCCGCGGGTGACTTGCTAGCAGCACCAGGATGGTGCTTTTAGCGGGGCCTAAAGCTGACGGCCTCTACGCCCGAAGCTGAGCACACGAGCACGGTTCGGCCGCCGAAGCGCAGTGTGGCGTCGCGTTGCGCAGCGTGGCGCCAGGTGGCGAACTTGCAGTCCGCGGCCTCGGATCCCATCTGCACCTTCCTGGATCCGCCCCTGCACCTCCGTGCCAAGCTCAGCAAGGCTCTTTAAAGCCCCGGCTCAAAGTATGCGGCATTTGGGCGACCGTGTGTCGCTCAGGAGCGGAGCTGCGCTGCGACTCCGACGTGGTGCCCGTGCGGGCCCGAGCGCAGCGGAGCGGAGTATAGGCACAGTGTAGGCTCTGCGGCTCTGCACTGCTTAGGCGGTGGTGACGTTGAGTTGGAGGCTCCCGAACATGGAGTGGTCGGGGACTCGGAGGTTTCAGCGGAGCCCAGTTCAGCAGAGCAGATCTCTTATGGAGGCTTCGGCCGGTGGCGCAGGCCACGCACGCGCCGCAGGCCCCCCCCCCCATGGCAGTGCTACATAGCGCTACGCTAAAGCAATGCGCTTCCCAAGAGCTGAGGGCTCGGACATGATGCGCGGGGGCCCAGCGGAGATGCTTGCAGTCTCGTGTCTCATGCTTTCAAGACTTAACCATAGAAGCACCATTCTTGTTACCCGTCTAAGACTACGATCCTTACGGCAAAACGGCTATAGTATAGCAAGACGCAGTTTCGGTGCGGCAGCCAGTTTGTCGAAAGAACGGCGATTTCTGTTCTGGTACCGGCAGCGCTCTTTCTTTTCCCCCGCTGCAGTTCGCATTGCGTACCTGAGCGAGTCGCAAACGCGACAGCCGCCTTGGCAAACCACCTACCTTCTTACATGCTTATATTTGTGTCCCGACAGCACATGGTGGTGTTTGAGAGTTGTGAAAGTTTTCCGGTTGCAGCGCCGAGAGAACAGCCAGAACTTGTTATCTACGCGGTGTCACAGGTTTGTACTGTCGCACTGGCTTTAATTGGGTGACCCTCTTTTTAGTGGGTCGTTTCCGGTGGCTTATTAACTTTTCGGCATTGTTATTTTTGACCGTGCTCGGAAATGCGTTTGTTGTTGGCCCGGGGGCTTTTTTTGGTTTGCGTTAGGCGTTGTCCGTTCTGCTGATGTTTTCCCACGGTACCTGCGAAATCGCAAACCACCAATCCTGAAACCCTATGCCCTAAAGTCTAAAGCCTGAAACCCAACAACCTGTGTTACCTCAAAGAGCCAGTCTTCAGATCCAAATGAAAAAGGTTGATTCGCCGCACACTGAGCAACCAAACGGAAACTGTTGATGCACAACCGCTCTCCAAGTGTGCAGAGATTGGTTCGAAAGATGGAAGGTTGTGGGCTGTGATTTGTAAAGCTTCTTCAGTGCCACAACCGTGCTCAAGGGTGAGGCTACGTCGAGCCCCTTGTGCCAGCAACTTAGCACTGCATGCAGCTCACTTCTTGTACAACCTCGAGCAAGCAGTGCAGTGCCGACACGAAGCAAGATCTTTGCTCGGTGTGAAAAAATAGGGTCCGCTTCACATGTGTGCTGCCATGGAAACAGCTGTGGAGCTGGACTACTCGGCAGTCCTCCCTGATGTAAACCCAGTACAAGCACATCAACAGGGTATGAGCCCAAATACCGCGAGCGCAACTGCCGTTGCCGATGTGCAGGAACCAACCCAAGATGTTGTTGGGATGACTGGTAATCAGGGACAAGATGGTGGTGTTGCTGTGAGGACGATGGCGGTGGCAGTGGCCACAGGCCAGTCTGACTGGTGGCACTCCGAATTGGTCGGCTGTGGAAGTCAGCCCTTCTGGACGGGTGGATGTGGCGAGCAGATTGTGGGCGCTACAGAGCACTCGTTTAGACAGATGAATGCGGCACAAGCATCGTGGAGCATGATGGCTACGCGGAGGACTGCGCCGGCGTGGATTCAAAGGCTTGGAGCTTTCTTTCATGAGATGAGGAGCCAGCAGACGGCATGGCCTCCTTCGCCGATGGGATCTCGATCCGCCTACAAGATCTGTGCAAAGCTCTCGTGGCTCACCGGATGGGGGTCGCCAGTGCTTTTGAGCCCCGAGCAGCAGGACCAGCTTCGGAGGATGGAGCAAAGGGCCCCACTCCTTTATGGGCCACCTCGGGCCGAACGACCGGCTGAGGGCAACGGCAGCTCAGGTGGGAGCACCTATGAAGCTTTGCAAGAGGAGGTTAAGAGACAGCTGCGAGGAGTGGTTTCTCAGCTGGAAGCCTCTAGGAGGGAGGCGCAAGATCTACGGGAGGAAGTGGAGTTTCTACGTGCTGCACGTGAGCAGAGCAATGCCAATCAGCGTTTGGAGGACCAAGGTACCAGATGGCCCTCCTGTATCGCTTGGTGTCAGCAAAGCACAGCAGCAGCCGCAGCAACTACTGCCTCTGGTGCAGGAGCCACGGGCTTACAAGCAGCCGTGCCTACGACTGGGGTATCGGGCTTATATGCAGGTGCTTCAACCAGTGCGGCATCGGGCTTACAAGCAGGCTGGCCTGCCTCAGGTACTTCGGGCTTATATGCAGGTGCTCCAACCAGTGCGGCATCGGGCTTACAAGCAGGCTGTCCTAATTCGGGGGTGTCGGGCTTATATGCAGGTTCTTCTATGAGTGCTGGGCCTGGTGTACAAACGGGACAGGTTGTGCCTACCGTTATGGGGACGAGTGCGAGCATGGGACAGCATGTAGCAACCGCGCCTTCAGCGCCGACGCCACCGAATCTGGCAGCAATGACCTCAGGGGCGATGGCAGGACCGGGGGGCTCTGCAGGTGGAAGTTCGGATCCTATGTCGAGGCTTTTGGAGGGACTTGAGAAGGTCATCAAGGGTGGAAAGCCAGAGGAGCAAGGCGGTGGATGCACCTAAGCTGCCAGAGCTTACGGAGTCGTCATCTGTGGACTTTGGAGATTGGCTGTACCTCATAGAGCATGTTATGAGCGATCTTTCAACCTCGAGTGCAGAGTGGTGGAGTGTGGTTGTTAAGGACGCCCAGGACTTCTACGAGAGGTACCAGACAGCGGACCAGTTTTCAATTTTGTCTATGAAGCCGTTCCTTCAGCTGAGCTTGGTGAGGCGAAATGGAGCCGCCTGGACCGCAGAGGATCAACCATTCTGCTGGGAGCCACCCCTGAGGATATCAAGAAGGAGCTCGTCGCGACGAGAGCAAGGACCACTCTTGAGGTGCTGGCGAGACTTATGGTTATTTATCGCCCAGGCAGTGCTTTGGAGAAAGGCCAGCTTCTTCGGAGAGGGCCTAGGAGGGCGCTCCCGGGTTAAAGCGACGGAAGCACAGTCAGCTCAGGCCCCGGCAGCTTCGACTCCGATGTCGCCTTCGTCAACGGGAAAGGGGGCAAGGCCATGTCGATTCTATGCTACCGATGAAGGGTGCAGGCGGGGCAAGGCTTGCAAGTAGCATACCATGAAGGACCTCAGCAAGGCGGAGCGACGTGACCGATGCTATGAGTGTGGCGCAAAGGGTCAGATGGCTGCGGCGTGTCCAACGAACAAGGAGGTGCAGCAGAAGGCGGTTTCGGCTGGAGACTCGCCAGCATCGTCTATACGGGGGGAACGAATGGTCGTGGAGGAAAGGGAGGCAAGCAGCAGGGACTTACCGAGCGGAGGTGCTTCCCAGCCGGCGCCGCATCGACTACGACCGCGATGTGCAAGGGGTGCCAGTGGGGCAGTTGATCGAGGACGCTCAGAAGCTGATGCAGGCCTTCATGGAGCAGAAGACGCAGCCCATGGTGCAAGCGCTCAGGGTGGACGAGGCGGCTTTCAGTAGGGATTGCCGCTCACAGTTCATGAAGCAGAATGACAGTTCATCCTTGGACTCGGGTGCAACCCACCCGTTGCGGGCCCGGACTGACCAGGACCAAACTGGGGCCATGGACAATGTCAGCGTGACCTTAGCAGGCGAAAACCGGGTACAGATGGAACAAAACAAGTTGGCGCAGCTGAAGGCCTCGGTGATATAGCTGCAAAAGAGCACAAGGAAAAGAGCTGGAAGGACCATGTTCAGGACTATGTCACTTCCGGTGCGTACGAGGATTGGGTTAAGGCGGTGATGTGTGCGCCGTTTATGCACCGTGTGCCGATGAAGGGTGAAGAACGATCCTCTACGTGATCTTCCGGGCCGTGGAGATGGATATGAAGAAGGGGTGGGACCTCAACGACGACAAGATCTACGGGGTTTTGTTGTGGATGGCAAAGGAGGGATGCGTGAAGCACGTCTTTGGTGGACCACCTGTTGGGACCTTCTCTCCGTGGCACTACAAGGAAGGCCCGAGTGGCCACCAGATGAGAGCTCGAAGGTCCTCAACGAGAACGTCATGCTTTACAAGATGGTGTGGTTGTGGCTTTGTGCGGAGACTGCCCATGGCGATCAGGCCGAAGGAGCCGCAGGGCATCAGGTTGGTTTCTGCATGGAGTACCCCGAGGACCCCCGCAACTATATGACTGAGGCAGAGCATCGCAGCAGGTGCGTTTCAGCGTGGAGGACGGAGTTCATGAAGGAGTTCACCAAGGAGACCAACCTCTCCAAGTGCCAGTTCGAGCAAGGTGCGTTGGGACACATGTTCCGGAGGCCTACCTGCTGTTTGAGCAACTTGGGCATGGGGATACAAGGGCTCAAAGACCAGAGGACCTATGTTGCGGCCGACACAAAGGACACCGACCAGTCAGTTTGGCCGCATGGTTTTCGAATCACCTTGGCGGACGCGATCCACGAATGGAAGAGTGGTGAGAGCCCCGTGGTAGTGAAGAAGGCCATGACGAAGAAGGAGTTAGAAGAGTGGAAGGCTCACGTCGAGCGAGGGCATTGGCCTTACAGACGTGATTGCTCAGTCTGCTTGGCAGCTTCGGGAACGGGGAGACCGGGGAGACCAGCGAGGAGAGTAGTCCACAGGGATGCTTACGTGATGAGCCTGGACATTGCTGGCCCGTTTGCGGACAAAGGGAAGGATGAAGTCAGAGGAAGAAAGTATCGGTTTGTGCTTGCGGCGACTTACCTTTACCCGAAAGTGCGAGAGGTACCAGAGGATGCTCCCATTCCGAATGAGGAGGAGGCGGAGGAGTTTCTCAGGGAAGAAGAGGAGGAGGAATGGAAAAAGAAGGTCGCCGACCTGAACAAGCGGTTTTGCATTCCACTTGAAAGGCACACTGGCAAGGAGATGCTCGAGAGCATCCATGGACCTGTATGTGCAGCTGAGGGCAATGGGTCTTCCGTTGACCAGAATCCACAGTGACAGGGCCAGAGAGTGCAGGGTCAAGCCAGTTCGCAAATGGTGCCGTGATCGGGACATCTACCAGACATACACGGAGGGACTCGCACCTACCCAAAATGCGGTGGCAGAGAGTCATGGGAAGTGGCTCAAGAGCAAGGCGCGGGTGCACCTCAATGAGATGGAGTTGGACAAGGAGTTCTGGCCATGCGCTATGAAGCACGCTTGTTTCCAGCACAATGCGAGACAGATGGGGACCAAGGTTTCGGGTGTCAAGTTCGGCTCCGTTGTTTGGATGAAGTCCAAGAAGGATAGAGGGCCGTTTGATCCGAGGTGGGAGCGTGGCAAGTACATGGGTCCAGCTGATGATGTTCGTGAGGGTCATGTTGTTCGATTGGATGATGGCCTATGGCTCCGTACGCTGCACATGAGAACTGTGAGGGACGATGAGGCAGAGTTCGAGGTTGAGGAGCATATTGTGGACCTCATCGAGCCTACGAGGCGTGTGCGGGGGAAGACCAAGTTGCGTGATCCAGAGTTGCGAGCTATTCGCAAGCAAGAAAGGAGCGTGATAGTGAAGGAGCTGTTGGAGTCCAAGATTTGGGATTCGCCTCAGGCCAAAGTGGAGCGACCTCAGATGAGAGAAGGTGAAGTCTGGGATGGTGCTGCGTATATAAACCTGGGTGCTTATCAGCATGGTGGGATTACAAGCATCACAAAGGCGACTGAGAAGTTCAACAAGGAGGCGGTTTTGGCTGCTAGGCTCCTGACGCTTGACCACCCGGGATCCTCGTTCACGTCGGTGGCCTTGGTAAAGAATGCAGTCATGCCAGTACACAGGGGCTCCTTCAATCACAAACGGGCGATGAACCTGATCTCTCACCTCTCAAGGTGGCAAAGGGAAGCTGTGTGTGGCAGGAGCTCAAAGAGGGGGACGAGTTCAGAGGCAACTACCATCCTAGCTTCCAACCAAGGTGCGTCCAGATCGTCTACATGCTCCACTCCGAGGGGAGGACGGGGACCGAATCGTGGTGGTAGGTTACGCGGTGAGCAAGTGGGAGAAGCTACACCAGTTTCAGTATGATGATCTGGAAGAAATGGGCTTCATTCTACCAGAACGTGAACCAGTGGTGAAAATGATGAACGTTGGCGAAGGGGAAGGCCACCTACGCCCCCGATTCCGGAAGCAGATCCGGAGGTGACTGGTCCACCGACAGGGACCACGGCAGCCCCGCCGACCGGAGCCACGGGTACGACTATGACTACAGGCGCAAGTTTTCTGGGACCTGGGTCGTCAAGCGAGTCTACGCTTCCAAGGCCGGTGTCGGAGGATCGTATGGATTTGAGTTCGGGAACCCCAGCACCTCATACACTACAATCGTCCTCGTCGGGTTCGCGTTCAGGTCAGAGGGAGCATTTACGAGAAAGGGGCGGTGAACGCCTGGCTCTCGGAGTTTGTGGAGGAAGAGCGGAAGATCAAGGCAAGGCAAGCTGAGCGAGGGGAGTATGCCACCCAACGGGAGCGACAGTTGTTCTACAAGCTCGATGACGCTATCGACTACATGAACGAGATCCTGTGCTTGAGTCATCAAGCAAGAGAGCAGGCGACTATGATGAAGTTGGTACAGGAAAGCGAGACAACTCCCGAGGTGGAAGAGATGCTCCAGGCCTTGGTCGCGCCGATTGACACTGTGCATGGTGTAGAGCTACAGGAGGTCAAGCGCCACTTGACGGAGTGGCGGGAGGGTATCCAGAAGGAGATCGAAGTTCTCGAAACATCCGGCACACTTCGTCGCATACCGTTGCCGGAAGCCAAGCGCCTCGCGGGGAGGCTTTGCAGCGTGGCGGATGACGAAGCAACCTACGGTGATACTTTCGGCAGCTGAAGCAGAGTTGGTGGAGCTGGTGAATGCCAGTCAGCAGGCAGCCGGATTGCAAGCCTAGGTTGAGGAAGTATCTCCAGAGGACTCCGGAAAGCCGCTGATTTTGCGTGTGGACAACACAGCTGCATGTGGTCTAGCAACCACATCGCCTGGGTCGTGGAAGACACGACACTTGAAGGTCAAGGCGCGCCATTTTCTGGTTTGAGACCAATGAGGGCCGCATCAAGGTGGTGCACACTGCAGGCGAAGTGCAGGCTGCGGACATGGCCGGTCGCGAGGTTGATGGACCTTCGAAAGCTATGGGGAATGTGCTCCGCGGAAGACTTCCAGGCTGACGAGGAGGAGGTGATCGTTCGCAGTCTACGTGGCGGGGATTACTACGATCTCCTGAATATGATGGCGTGGATGATGATGGTGTCGAGGATTCCAGGTGCCAAGGCTACAGGTATTTATCACAAGAAGCCTTTGGACTACGATGGCAGTGTGGAGTTCTACGTGCTCTTGTTGGTGGGTGGAATAGCTCTGCTGGCAGTGTGGGAGGCTTTGAAGTGGTTGGCCCAGAGATGCTTCGGCGAGGATGAAGCTACCGTGGCAAAGGCCAGACGACTGTTGAAAATCAGGAACCAGGCCTCCAAGGCACTAAACAACAGGAGTTGGAGTCGATGAGTGCAAGCTCTTCGGACCCCGTCACAATGTCGAGAAGCCGTTGGTAACTACGCCAAAGCTCGCTGGGACGCCGCTTTCGGGTGCGTCTCAGGAGCCTACAAATGACGCCACGCGGTCTACGAGATCTACTACAGGGATGCCAGATGATGACCCTGATTTGAGGGCAGCTTTGGATACACGGGAAGGCGGGTACCAAAGGTTAAGGACGCCCTTCGTGATGTCAGAACATGGAGATCGCCTACATCTAGTTGCAGACTGTCATGGCTTGAGGCATGCAAACAAGTTGAAAATGAAGAAGATGCAGGTTTGCTACTATTGTGATGGGCATTTTCCGCTTTCATACAAGGTCGTGAAGGGCCAAACGATCCCCGAGGGCAGATGAGCATCGGAGGTCGCATTTGGAGATATTTTATCTCCAACGGAGGAGGAGGAGTGTTGATGCACAACCGCCCTCCAAGTGTGCAGAGATTCGAAAGATGGAAGGTTGTGGGCTGTGATTTGTAAAGCTTCTTCAGTGCCACAACCGTGCTCAAGGGTGAGGCTACGTCGAGCCCCTTGTGCCAGCAACTTAGCACTGCATGCAGCTCACTTCTTGTACAACCTCGAGCAAGCAGTGCAGTGCCGACACGAAGCAAGATCTTTGCTCGGTGTGAAAATAGGGTCCGCTTCACATGTGTGCTGCCATGGAAACAGCTGTGGAGCTGGACTACTCGGCAGTCCTCCCTGATGTAAACCCAGTACAAGCACATCAACAGAAACCGTACCGAGTCGCCGTGGAACTGTCCGTTTGTTGATACCAGGCAAACTTGTCCTGACTAAGTCTGCGACGGTCCGTGAGCCGGGTGGCATCGCAAGACGCAAAACCGTCACCGTCCAAGGGAGCGAAAAAGGAACATAGAAGGTCTTAGGCAAACGGATTAGAACGTCTTCGTCACCAACGTGTCCTCGGTAACATCAGGCACCGGCGGTTCCGGTGTGCACGGGTTCCGGGAGAGGGGTTTGCTGAATCGGAATTTCCCCTCAGTCGCTGGCAAAAACCAGGAACCGCGGGACCGGACGACGAGGAACCCGGCTCATTGTGTAATGGGGAGCCCCCTGATGGAACAGGGTCCTTCTTCCCCGCAGACTGACCTCCCGTTTCCCGGAGCTCCACTGCCACGTTGAGATGTAACCTGGGCATATAGACCCTCGCAATGCGTAAAGGTCTACAGGCCACGCAGGAGCTTTTTTACCACAGGCGCACAGCTGTCAGCATGATCTTTGCTAGAACCTTGAACTGCAAGTATAGACACATGCAGGTGGTACGTGAAACAGACATGCACCTGGCTCCTTCTAGTTAAACCCTCCTAGACCCCAATCGAAGCCAAGCCCCCCGGCGACGTTGCTCCCATACGGTGCTAGCGCACGACTGCAAGGTGTAGTCTGCTGCAGTGCAAGATTTCTTTGAACCACGCCCGCCCAGGGATTTCACACAATTTGAAGGGGTCTGCGGCGGCGGGCGGCGGGCGGCGGGGCCGTGCTTTAGGAGCTGTGTCGTGAGGTGGGCAGCAGGGCTCATGCCGAGCAAGGCCAGAACGATTCTGAGCATGGAAGTCGAAGTGGAGCAAAGCCTAGCTGCTTTGAAAGGTCCAAGTACGGTGGCGAGTGCTGCAGAGCCTCCCTAACAACAACGAGGCCGGAAGCCCCAAGAAAAGCACCATACAGAGAGAGAGAGAGAGAGAGAGAGAGAGAGAGAGGGAGAGAGAGAGACAGTGGAGAGTTAGACGTTGCTGCCGACGCCCCCAAAGCCCCACACAACGTGGGGGGCCCTAGTAAGGGCCGGGGGGACTAACATGCCCCTCTAACCCGAAGAAGAAGAGAGAGAGAGAGAGAGAGAGAAAAAATATTCATTTCTCACTCCCCGCATACCCAATAAAATATTGGGTGGGCCATTCGGCCCGGGGACGCTGACCCGTCCCCAAGCCCAGGAGAGAGAGAGAGAGAGAGAGAGAGACAGAGCGGAGCAGATCGGAGCAGGCGCTGCCGGCGGAGCTGGCCTCGGGAAACTACGTCACCGCGCCCGAGGCCGCGCGGAAGCCCAGCCCCAGCTCCGGGCCGCCCCGCGCCTGTGCAAAGAACCCCCCGCCCTGCGCCCTGCGCGCCAGTTTGGTGCCGCGTTCAGAATGACGCCTCTCGCGTGTTCCGAGGCGCTGGAAGCGGACTTCCGGCCAAGAGCTCAGAGAGCAAAACAATTTTGCTGAGCACCGGCTGTCGTCGTTAAGCTATATTTGAAAAGGATGGATGAGACCTGGCAGTGCACCTACAAGGAGGCGCAGAATCTGCAAGGGGGCTGAGGCTTTTCAGGGGGAGCTTGCCTCGCGTCTAACGCGAGGCCCTGCCGGCCGCCATTGCCGTCTTCTCGGTGCGCTTGGGGACAACGTACAAGTGGTCACCTTGGTCGGAGGCGCGCGGCTTCGAGCGGGGGGGCGGAAGGGGGCGGCATCTTGCGCGCAGGACAGCCCTGCTCTCTCCGTGGAGGTGTCGGGGGCCCATGCTGCGAGCCGCGAGCTGTGCGCGAGGCTGCTGTGTGGAGACTTGCTGCTCTGAGGCCGGAGCCCTGCCCAAGGCTTGGGCCTCCCCCCGCACACAGAGCCGCTGTGCCGCCCTTGCGAGCCTTGCGAGGGTCAGTCCTGCGGAGGAAGGCAGAGCCAGAGCCGGAGCCTCGAAACCTCGCGATGCGTTGTTGCTGGAAGAGAAAAGCTTTTGAAAGTCGGATTCCAGGACGGGGACCAGGACCCCTACGTGGAGATCTCGGACTTGACGGACTCCCAGGCCCAGGCGCGCCGGGCCCCAAAACCTCAAAGCTCTCTTTCCGCCCCTTCCGCCGATCCCCCGCCGAGTCAGGCTGTCTGGAGGCCCTTCGCCACCGAGGCGGGCCGCCGGCTGCTCGCGGCTTTCTTCGGTGCCTCCTAAGATATGTATGTATAAAGGAGGTATGTATGTGTATATGTGTATGTAT